CTGAAACCTGAACATGTGCTATTCAAGTATGTTGCCTATAAATTTCAATGTATCTCTTTTAAATTTCTCCTGGTAATAGATCTTGTCTTCGTAGACGTACAGATAATAGACTTGACTAGTATAGATTTATAGTTGCCCTATAGAGTACAGCCGAATAGCTGCTCAGATAGTAAATGCTCGCCAAGATATATATAACAACGATGTACATACCAGTTTGTTCCATATTGAGTTGCGAAAGCCATCATACATGCATAGACATGCCACATAAGCCATGTCAAATTAAAATTGACACTATTGAATCTATAAATAATAGAGATGATCCAAAAAAAGAACGCAATAAATGTCTCTTCACCCGATTTTCAATACACCCGACAACGGGGAAGGAATGAGCGCCAAGGAAGCATATTTACAGTAAAATATAATCATTTCGTCGTCTATTTTTCCCTATAATGCTAAAGCACCGGATCTATTCGGCCCCATAGCGAGCCCTGTAGTCCTTCAACCGCTGGATCTCGGACTCTCCGATCTTATCGCCCAGCTTCTCGATCAAGTCGTGAAGACCAATCACTGCACGAATGGGGATGTTTCCACCAAGGTCCCTCTGTGCAACGCCGATAGCGCTCTTAGGCTCAGCGTCGCTGACTCTTTCCTCGCGATCGAGTAGGACAACAATGCCGGTAACAATACCGCCTTCCTTCTGAATGATGCTCACGGCCTCACGGATGGCGGTTCCGGCGGTAATAACGTCGTCCACAATGACCACACGCTTTCCCTTCAGAGGAGCACCGACAATGTTTCCTCCTTCACCATGGTCCTTGGCCTCCTTACGGTTGAAGGAGTAGCTGACATTGTCCCAAGTTCCCTTAGCAGATGCGGAGAGAGAGTCTCGCACTGCTAATTCATTCAGAACGGAAGCGCACACCGGAATGCCCTTATAAGCCGGACCAAAGATAATGTCGAAGTTGGGTGTGGTAGTACCGTCGGCCGCAACAGTTACGAATGGCGGGGCAGACAGAACACTGGCATAGGCAGCCGAGGTGGCACGGAGCAAAGGCGCAGTGTGGAGGAGAGAAGATGTGAAGAAGTACGGAGATTCACGGCCGGACTTAAGGATAAAGGAGCCAAAAGACAGGACATTATTCTTCATCAACAAGGGAAGCAAAGTCTCCTTGTAGTCTTGCTCGGCGGCAGGAGCAGGAATGGTAGCGGCGGACATTATTGTATTTCTTCCTTGCGACGACTTGTGTGTTGATAGAAGGTTTCAAGGTTCAGTGGAACAAGGCTAATAATTTGGGAGCCTCAATTGGTTCAACAAAATAAATAGTCTGGAGTAGTGAGATTCGGTGGTGAGACTTGTTTTGGGGAAAAAGACAGTTATCAGCAACGATCGATGGGTCTTTTTTTTTATGATTTTCTTTTAGGCAATTTCCCAAGGAGGGGCAAGGCGGGCGGAGGCCATAGGCCAATGGCAGGAAAGAGGGGTCTGGGAGGAGGCCCGTGGATCGGACCGTCGTATCGTCTTAGCTCTCCCTCTCTCTTTCTTCCCCCCAGTTCCTCCTTCTTTGCTTTACCGCCCAATCTGCCTGGTTCAAACATCTTGGGGTGAACTGGTGTCCCTTTATAGTCTTACATCTCATATTCTGGGCACTAAATAACCCTCCGGCTCTGCTGAGGGTCTGTAACTGACCGATTGGGAGTGGGACACGTGCCACAGGACAACCTCCGAAGTCCGGCCTTCTTTACGATAGATTATCTCACCTGCCCCTTGCTTTAACGTAAGGCTGGTTTTTTCCCCCCTCCCCTGGGCTTTTCTTCCTTCTTCTGAGACCTGGTCCTGTAGCAGTTTTCCATTCTTTCAGTTCCTCTTCGTTTATTTGTTGGCAGATTCCTATTCGGTATATTAACACCGTGTTCGCTGGCAGGCCCGGTGACCGAGAAGACCAGGAACGGTTATCAGTGATTAGGAGAGCTGTTTAACCTGGACAATTTGCCCCAATTTTTGTTGAGAAAAAAAAACCATTTTTCCTGTAAGTTTAACTATTTGGATCCTCCAGTCAACTTGTCGTTGTACTACAATTACCATTCCGAACAGATCCACTAATTCCGGTGCTATTATATAGTCTAACTACACACAATGCATATCAAGGAAAAGCTTGCCCAAAATGAGGCCGCTGGAAGAGTTGGCATCTCATTTGAATTCTTCCCCCCCAAAACAGCGCAAGGTGTGCAGAACCTTTACGACAGAATGGACCGAATGCACGCATTGGGCCCATCCTTCATTGATATCACATGGGGTGCCGGAGGACGGTTGTCAGACTTGACTTGTGAGATGGTTAATGTGGCCCAATCGGTGTACGGACTGGAGACCTGCATGCATTTGACATGTACAGATATGCCGACGGAGAAGGTAGATGCTGCCCTACAGGCCGCCTACAAGTCTGGCTGCACTAATATCTTGGCCCTTCGCGGTGATCCGCCTCGTGAGAAAGAGAAGTGGGAAGCTGCTGATGGCGGACTTCGTTATGCGAAAGACCTGGTCAGGTACATTCGGGACAAATACGGAAACCATTTTGATATTGGGGTGGGAGGTTACCCTGAAGGCGCCGACGATAACCCAGATGTGGACCTCTTGATCGATCACCTGAAGGAGAAGGTCGATGCAGGAGCCACATTTGTTATCACACAGATGTTCTACGATACGGATCTTTTCATCAGTTGGGTAAAGAAGTGCCGCGCTAAAGGAATCAACGTGCCTATCATCCCTGGTATCATGCCAATTCAAACTTATTCCGCGTTCATCCGACGAGCAAACTGGACAAAGATTCATATTCCCGAGGATTGGCTCGAGACTCTGGAGCCCGTGAAGAATGATGATGCGGCTGTCAAGGAGATTGGAAAGGTCCTGATCGCAGACATGTGCAGGAGGCTTCTGGCAGCTGGAATTAACCATTTGCACTTGTAAGTTGGATTTCTCTGTCCTACCAAAACCAGAAAGCTCATGAACTCTTGCTAGTTATACGATGAATCTTGCCCAGGCCACACAGCTGGTCCTTGATCAGCTGAAACTTATGCCTTCCGAAGAGACACCGATCCAGCGACCCTTGCCCTGGCGGCCGTCGCTTGGTCTTAACCGTAGGGCAGAGGATGTTCGCCCAATCTTCTGGCGGAACAGGAACTCTTCTTACATTGCTCGCACGCAGACATGGGATGAATTTCCGAACGGCCGTTGGACCGACTCCCGATCACCCGCTTTTGGTGAGCTTGATTCTTACGGCATAGGACTCAAGGGCACAAACGAACAGAACATTCAACTGTGGGGTGAGCCGAAGTCCATTCGGGACCTTTCGCATCTCTTCGTTAGATACCTGGAGGGTAAGCTGAGTCGGTTGCCCTGGAGCGACACTCCTATCAGCTCCGAAGCGAAAGCTATCAAGCCTAACCTAGTCGAACTCAATAACCGGGGTATCCTCACCATCAACTCACAGCCGGCTGTCAATGGAGCTAGGTCGTCCCACCCTGTGTATGGATGGGGCCCGAAGAATGGTTTCGTCTACCAGAAGGCATACCTCGAACTCCTGATCCCCCCGTACCTGCTTGACGAACTGATTGCACGCATCGAGAGTAACGAAGATCTTACATACCATGCGGTTTCAAAGAATGGTGAATTGCGGACCAACACCCACGATAGCCCCAACGCCTTGACTTGGGGTATCTTCGCGGGTAGAGAGGTTGTCCAACCTACCATTGTTGAAACAATCAGTTTCCTGGCCTGGAAGGACGAGGCATACCGTCTAGGTGAAGACTGGGCCAAGTGTCATGCTGCTACGAGCCCTAGCAGGAAGTTGATCCAAGGACTTGTGGACAACTGGTACCTTGTTAACATCGGTGAGTTAAGCTTAAAGCTATTCCATCTGCATTTCACTTGCTAATCTCTTCTATCTAGTCAACAACGACTTCCACAACACTTATGATCTCTTTGACCTGTTCAAGGATTTGAACGTAAGAGATTTCGACGTCGAAGTCACCTCGGACAACGCCGACTCGAAATCTCAGGAGAACGAAGCGGTTGAGGCTACTGCAAACTAATTTACGTACATCACGAACAATCCCAGCAGGCTATGCCTGCTCTATAACTTCTCTAGCATCTCTTCAACGATTTACTAAGACTTCCTAATTCAACATCTATATCTCAACGATACCTGCCTGGGGTCGAACCACCCCACGGCGCGAAATGGCTTATGGCGACATGAATTGAAGACCTCTCAACGATTTCTTCTTTGAGCGTTATTTAATTTCAACATGATTTTTAACATTCAACCTTATACCCCACCCGATTATTTTTATTTCTCATCGCGCGCGAGAAGAATCTCAAATTCAACATCATAATCAAGTCTCCCTTAGAGCCCCAAGCTCAGGGGTCGTCAACCATGACCCCACCTCCTCTTTCGCTTTTATCTCTACATCTCTATCTCCACTTTCTATCTCGCTTTTTCTTTCTTTTCTTTTCTTCCTTTCCTTCTTCTTCTTTCATTTAAAACAGAGCAGGGCTACATAAAATAGGGTGATGCGATACCTTACGATAATTCAACACTATGGATGACGACGGAGTTGGGTTCATGAGAAACGAAAAAGTAATCCTTTTCAACACGGGATACGGAGTTTCTTCATGAAGCATTTGATATATTTCACGAAATTTATTTATTCAAGTCTTGAATAGACGTATAGACTCAAAAAATCAAAACAAATTCAATGGGATGATGATGATAGTTACTTGCCTTCTCGCTTTTACATTCTTCCTACTATTAGATGATGCGAGGGTTGGTCTATCTATATAGCACGCGCTTATACCCGAAAAGGATGCCTTGTATTACACAACCGTTCATAACGATAACTGACGTCGCCGGAAAAGACGTTCAAGCATAAGAATAATAATACATGAAATGAGGACCCGCTACTCAAGTATACAAAAGTACAAGAACAATGTAAAAGTACCGAAGGTATCAGCTTGTCATACCCTGTAGAACTCTTCCTAGCGCACCCAAAAACCACCCGAGAGGCCTTACAAACCATACGATCCAGCTTCCGATAAGAATTACATACTCAACTGCTCGCCCTAGAAGCATCATGATAGAACCAAGAACACCAAGATAAATCACCACCTGACAAAGATCAGTCAGAAAACGAGCAAGGTCTTTCTCACTTGGTCTAGGCCAAACTCCTGTTGTGGTGTAAATGGAGCAAGCCTGCAGGAGGTTCTTGAAAACATGCAGGCAGTGTTCAACCATGTTCAGAATACAGTTCAAAGCAATTTTGAACAGGACGGTCTTTGAATGCCGATTGTCTATTATCTGCGTAAAGAGGCCTTGAGCTTGAGCAGCCGACAGGAAGAAGACGTCCATGATCAGACTCATTGTAATTGAATTTAACAAGCCCCGGTAGTTTGCCTGTACCCCAGTTGTCTGTAGATCGGCACGCAAATCAGCAACCTTCGAGCGAAGATGCTCTTCGTGTGTGTACTTGCCACCCGATTTGTCATTTCCCTTGTGATCTGTCTTATGCTCATCCCTTGGATCGTCGACTTGTAGGCCATCCAATTCGGCTACCTCAACAATTCTAGCGGTCTGCGTTGGCGCGTTTGGATATCGCTGATCCCTCGTTAGCGAACTGGCGGGAGAGATATCATGGCCCGAGGAGGGTGTGGACTGAGACGAGTCCGATATACTCCTTGCAGGGATTTGATAATCATTCTTCGGTGGAGCAGCAGGCGCTTTCGGTGGGGTATTATTATGTATGCGTTGACCGAGATTTTCTGTGCGTGACTTTACCATGACGGGCATACGGATGTACCCACGTATGGCCCGACGCCTTTCCGCGCTCATATACCCCAGTTCTGCTCGAGCTTGTGGTGTCCCCGGCACGTTTTTTACGGGAGTGTCTCTTGAAAATGAAGGCGTTGGCCAAGTTGCGTTGGATCTCTCCCACGAATTTTGGGTCGCTCGTCGTAATCCCGACGGTGAAGGGTGCATTTGAGGCTTCGCCCTTACATCTTTGATGGTTTCGCCTGCTATTCGAGGCGGTATGCCCGAACGTTTCGGCGTAGCGCCTCTCGTTTCCCCTGTGTTCACCATAGTGCGTGTGATAGTGGGTGTGATAATGAACACATCGTCCCCATGGCTCTTTCTCTGGTCCTGTGTTCTTATCGCACGGGCAGCATGGTTTGTGTTCTCTTTCCCCGAGGCATGCGCAGGCGTCTCTGCCTTGTCCTGTCGTTGACATATGGTCTCGTGACACATCGTCTTCGGTGACTGCTTGGAGCATTGGACATGCTTCGAACTCTGAAAAGTTGGCTTCCGTTCGTCTTGGGCGACGGTCTTTTCCTCCGATGCTGCTGTCGTTGGCTGGGCTGGCGTCATTATCTTCTTCCAATCTTTTGGCTTGGCCATTGGTGTCGACACATCCACTACTCTGGGGCGCTCGGTGGTTGACGAGAAAAACAAAATCTCGTCGGGATTCTTGTCGTACGGTCCCTTGATTTCCCTGCACCCTAAAAAAGAGCCGTCCGGATTAGCATCGGACACCTTCGGCTTTATTCTCGATGGTGACTCTTCCCAGATTGTGCTGAAGCGCTGTTTCCCAATCTCATCAGGTGAGTAATATCGATTATGACCAGACTGATACGTTGCCGGTTGTTCACCTGCCTCTGCAGAATGACTTGAACGTGAGTCCTGGCCGTCGAGGGTGCTAAGCTGTTTTCGTTCAGGGTCTGGCAGATTCGGATTATCCTCCGGTGTCGTGGTACGTGGACTTGGAAGAGTGTCGGGATCAAGCATCGCCTCTCCCTCTTTGTGCACATTCTCAATGCTCTTTTGGAACTCCACAATCTGCTCTACGCTCATTGTCGGCGGGTTTGGGTCTTTGGCTGAAGGCATATTGACAACAAATCTATCTTCCCACTCGGTCATCGAGCTACTAGGGCCTGACACTGGTGATATGGAAGGGTATGAGTGAATGGATGAGTCGGTAGTGTTACCTGTCTTGTCAGGGGACCTTTGAGGAGTCGTGTCATGGGTCTCGTGGCTTGTCGGTATGTCCTTGCTCGACTGGAATCCATTCTGATTCTCGGAATGCTCCTTGGAGTGGGACACAGGGCCATCTTGATTACCGATGGTAGGACCCGCTATTTTGGTTCTGGACTTCGCCCCTTGTTCAGAACCTCGTTGAGCACGGGTAGTTGGACTTGCAGTTTTTTGCTTGTGTTTGGCCATTTCATGTTTGGGTGAGCTAGCCAATGAAATAATCTTTCTATAGGCCTCTTGATAATAATCCTTCTGTTTATCTTTGCTCCGTGATGCTGTAGGCGGTTCCCGGTCGAACTTCCCTCGAACTTTCCGCCAATATTGCTCACGGTCTTTGTCTGTCGAGTTTGGTGATTCACGATCCGACGCACCAGGGGACCGTTTCATCTGACCATGCACCTTGATATTCTGCTGCTTTGTCTGAGGCGTGACGGATGTTTCCCTTCTTTGCTCCGTACCCTTATCTGCAAACGCTCTAGGAATGGGAAGCTTGGTGGCCCTGCCCCTTCGCAAAAGAGTCTGGGGTGTTTTGGAGGATCCAATTTTCGACTCGGTCGAGTTTTGGTCGGTCCCCGGAGGATGTGCTCCATTTTGCTCGTTTCCTGCTTCTTGGTCACTGAATTTGGTGCGTCTGCCGTTTCGAGCTCGAGGCTGGAGGTTGAGCAAATGCCCTTTCGGTAAAGGAATATGTCCCTCCATTTTGGATCGATGAGGTTGGGTAGCAGTCTCGACTCTTAGGTCAGGTTCAGCCCTTCGACTTACCCATTCCTTCTTCGAAGACCGCGGTTTTTCTTGTATCTGCGAGGGTGTAGTGGGATTACTACGCCTTCTGAGGCGTTTGCCGTGCGACAATAAAGCTGATGGCTCATTGAAACACGACAGAGCATTTGCGAAGAGAGTTCGAGAGAACATTTGCTCTGCAGGCTGATTCCGAGTTGTAAAGGGATGACGTGCGTAATGATACGATTGGAATGCTAAGGAATCCAACTCACCACTTCGAGGAATGCAACAAGAGACAGGAATCGCTTAGCATGGAATGTGGTGCCCCCACCCTGACGATATTTGGTATGGCAGTTGCACACGCGCTTGGTCGGTTCCTTTCTATTTAGGTCACATCTGTGGAAGCAGCGACGCCCCTGCCTATCTGGCATGCCCCAAGCGGGATCCCAAGTAACCAAGTAGGAATTTTAGGAAATAACGGGCAGACTGAACATATTTTGGCTTCCTCATTTGCGGGTTGACTCAAGTTTAATTTCCAAACGTCGCAACAATGCGACATGGGACATATAATACAGTGGCTGGCCGTGTGTGTTATCAGCCTACATTCCCGAGTTGATACGGTTCGACACTGTGCCCCTTGAACGCAATAGGAATATATCTTTGAGCTGAAGAAAAGACTAAGGACTCCCAAACTCCCCACCCATATGCTTAGTTAAATGTTGTCCACAAGACTATATGCGGTGAACGATATAATAATTCCGAGGAATGCGTGCTGCATCAGCCTATCATGAAGTTATCCCGCCTTCCACTAGGAACAACTCATAACTCTGAGTTGTTTAGAACCTTCCTGTCTGGCGACGTAAGTCGAGATGACTTCGTCTTGAACCTGACGCAATGGGGCTCGCGTCACCAGGAACATTGCTCCTCTTCAGCGGACTAGACGGCTTCTTCATTGGACTTGCACCTCGCTCCCTATAAAAGAAATCTCCAGTACTCTGAAGACGACGGTCAAAGTTCGTGGAACTTGATTTCCTCAACGGGGAATTAGCATGCGAGTAAATACCCAAACTGCCACCATCTCCCGTGGCGGCAGGGGTTTGACGGAACTGCGGCTGCCGAATTGACGAGATCGGACCTCGAACAATAGGAGAAGTGTCCCGCAAATGACTTGGTGTTTGCAGTGGGCCTTGGTATTGAGACGGACCAGAAGGGGTTCCAGCTAGTGATTGACGTCCAGAAGAGATACCATCCGGGTCAACGTGTTTAAGGTAGTTGGGGTTCGGGCTGGTTTTGAAACCCCGCTGGACAATGAATGTAGGAGTATAAGTGTCCACTTTGTTAGACTTAGACTTGGAGCCGGATTGGGTGACACCTGCGTCGGAAAACTGGGTGCCGACATCTCTCATTAAAGGCTGAGTTCGAGGGTGCACATATTTTGTGTCGTACTCTTTCAACACTTCTTTATGTACCAGTGTAGAATCCTTTGCCTGTTGCTTAAAGGAAGATGATAGGAAGGTCATCTGTACTGACAGCAGCGTTGTCAAAACGATTGTCGTCACAATGGTGACACTTGGTCGCGGATCTGATAGTTGTGTAGGCAGGAAAAGCCAATAAACTAAAACGTGTCCAGGGCTAAAAAGGCAGAACAACCGCAGGCAAATCGGTAGAGGGTCCCAGACTGCAAGCTCCCACACGTCGCGCTGCGCATCGGGGTGCGCTCTTGATCGTGCCGACCCAGAAATCGCATTTGCAAAGTATCGCAGCGGGGAGGCTGGAGTTGAGTCAACACGTACACGGTGAGCCGATGGTGTCGCAGGTGCGCGGTCAATTGATGCTTCAAACATGCGATAGTGTCGTTTGCGGTAAAATGTATAGAAACCATTGAGCCCGGTAAAACAAACGAGTAGATGGACGACGAACGAAGCCTGTGATGATGGTGTTCATTAGCGCCAAAATACGTTATACACCGAGCTTGGACCTCAAATATATAGGTGGTGATGATATATGGCCATCGAAAAACAACTTACAAACCAGCTGAGCCAGGGAGTACCTCCATCTTCGCCGAAAACATCGTCTATGGCTCTCCCGCCACTGGGTTGAGTGTTGGCTCTTGCGATTAAAAACACCACATTCAAGACCACACCCAGAGGCAGCGCCCAGTCCTTCTCAAACTGATCCCAATCATTTGCATCTATCTCTTCCGACAGCCATAGGAGAAAGTCCAAGGGGTTTAGATAGGATTTGATACGCTCTGCCAATGGTTGGCGGCGTATGAGCCGGGGCATCGTGACGCCAGAGAAGCTACGATGGTAGCGCGAGAAACTGCAGATCAAGAAAGGTATTAATTAGCCTTTTGAGTGGCGCCACAGGGCAGAGAAGAATTACCAACCGGACCTACCTATGGCAAGAAAAATATAAGAGGCTGAGAGCAAGTTTTCCGTCCCACTCGTGTAAACATACAACAACACCGAGAGAAAAAGTGCATACAATGGCGCTTAGGTAAGCCGTGTCGGGGCCACTTATGACGACTGTCCGATCAAGTTGCGGGAAGTCGAGACTCCACGGGGACAGTGTGACCCTTGTCCTAGATCCCACTTGCTTTTGAGCTGTTTCCTTCGCCGACCGCTCATATCTATCATAATGGCGGCCCAAGCCAAGGTACATTGTTCACTTCCCTTCTTATCTGCACGGATTCGACGGCTGACACACTACAGGACCGGCAGTTCCTTGCTGTCATCGGAGATGAAGAGTAATCTACAGCCTGTGGGGTTATCCTGAACCAAAGTTTTGCTAATTTCCTATATCAGCTCAGTGACTGGACTTCTTCTCGCAGGTGTTGGCGTGAGTATTTTCAAGAGCGCTATAGCAGCCGACATGTCCGATGGTGAGCTAATCGGCTTCTCAAAGCATGTCACAGACCCCCCCGACTCCCAACGGAATTTCCTCGTGGTAGACTCCAAGACCGAAACCTCTACGATTGAGAAAGCGTTCCAAAACTTCACCCAAGAAAGAAAAGATATTGCTATCGTTCTCATCAATCAACACGTACGTTATGCAAGCGAAGTGCTTCCCCCAACAATAAAAATGTTCAAGCTCTGCCTAGTTGGTCGCCGTGCTTACGGAAGAACAGGTTGCAGAGCGCATCCGCCACAGTGTTGATTCCTTCGCCGATCCATTTCCTGCCGTTCTAGAAATTCCAAGCAAGGATCACCCATACGACCCCGAGAAGGACAGCGTGCTTAAACGGGTGCGGCGTCTGTTTGGGGAATAGATCCAAGGAGTACCCTGTTCTTCCTTTGTTTACCCTCATCGTGTTATAAGTGTCATATGTGGTTGTGGGATAATGGAACTGTGCAAGGGGATGATACCCAATTTATCCAAGAGGTGTTCCATATAGACTCGTATATGCCTACCATTGATAAGTCAGAGAATGGCATTCATCCGATTATGAATGTCAAGACGACTATCCTGCGGAAGAAATCGTCTTTGACATCTCGTAAATAGAATGTGTGGGATTTTTTGTGTCCGGTAAACAGTGAGCTGGTAGAAACAGTAATTGACAATTTGCCAGACTTGCTCGACATCTTCCTCTCAACGGAAGACTAGTCACTTCAACATCCATCCAGCGGAAATGAAATCGTAGGTACTCAATTGACAGTGCATTGGAGCAATCCAAATCTTCCGATGAATCTCTGCCGACGGCCTATAGATATATGCGACGTGCCCTAGATAGAAACCTATAGATCTAGAATGGACTGAGTATGGGATACACGTAAAGGAGACCTTTTACTTGGTAAGTTTCGCAACCAGAATTTGCGCCCATTCCGTCCTCTTAAGGGTCAATGTAACCGTGGCGCGAATGGGGGGCCAGTATTTTGAACAAGCGGCGGGGCAGATCGCTAGACCGTCAGAGGAAGTCTAGCCTTCTCTTGGCTAATGTTGACGAGATGAAGTTGTAGGGATGATATGAACATGGCTCTCATGGTCCAGCCTTCGGCTATTGCTAAGATATTCTAAGGTTATACGCAGAATAATCATCTCATCCAATCCTATTTCTAGAGAAGCCTGCGAAGGTGGGTCAATCTCCACGATAGGCGTTTGGGCTCCATAAGCTTAGTTGCGGACGGATATCATGCTTCAGACCCATGAGGCTTCGATTCTCGTTATGGTGAGCAACAAGATACATTTCAGAGATCAAGATGTCTCAAGTCTGGTTCGAAAGTTTAGCACGATGCTTTTAAACGTTGAATATCAAGCGCCATGCATGGCATTCCCACCAATCAGACTGCTGTGCCTCTGCTGGTATCACGTGTGCCCAGCCATTCGTCATGGGGTCCCATGACACCGCTTCTCCCTTCCACTGCACCTCTACTGAACTTAACCTTCCAAGAGGTACAACTTACTAGTACTTGCTATATACTTGCAACTTCCACCATCGTCATCACAGGTCTGAGTAGCACTTATATCATTTGATTTGATATCCCATCTCATCGTGGTCTGATCCCGAGCTGTTTGACAAACCCTCGCAATCATGAAGTTCTTATCAAGTGCCGCTGCGCTTCTCGTCTGCCTCGCCCCCGTCTCCACCACAGCTCGAAGCGTCGACTTCTTCAAGTCATCTCAATCCCCTATCATCCAAGAACAAGGCAAACCCGTCGCAGGGAATAACCCTCTGCAGTATTGTGACGACCCAGCGGACGATATCCTAGATATTAAACAGGTGGACTTGTCACCTAACCCACCTCTTCCGTACGTCAACGAACAGCAATTACCGAAAAGCATACACAAACGTTCTTTAGTATGATATTGAACATCAGGGCTAATAGAATATAGTGGCAAAACACTTGTCATCACGGCCTCGGGCACCTTGCATGAAAAGATCGAGGATGGTGCTTATGTGCTTTTGGAGGTCAAATATGGCTTGATTACTCTTCTCAGGCAGACAGCCAACCTCTGCGAACAACTCGTCAATGTAGACCTTAAATGTCCTCTGGGCCCAGGTGACATGACCTTGACCAAGCAGGTTGACTTGCCAAAGCAGATTCCTCCGGTAAGTCGTATCGTCCCATACTTAGATGGGGTCTGGTTTGCCAGCAAGTATACTCGACCCTGGCGAGGGTAGATTGCTAATAGATGTCTTGTTGGATAGGGCAAATACACTGTCCAGGCCGATGTCTACACTAAGGATAATGAGCGTATCACTTGCCTGAAGGCCCTTAATATTGAATTCAAGGGTCACTTCTGAGAGGTCGGCAAATGTACAGCCTGCACTTAGATATCGATGCGCTCAACCTAGTTTGAGCATGCCGTATACTTAATTACGAACCTCGCCATGTACCCAAACCAGCAGTTGTTTTCTTTCTTTCCAATCGCATGATTCATGATTCCTTTCGACTTCATTCGCTATATCTTGTACGGCGTTTCGGAGCATCCGCTCGATACTACCGCCTTCTTTTTCAAGCTCGGGTTTATTTATATATGTCGTTTTGGCATCGCTTAGCTGCATCTGTATCATCAGCCCAGGTAGAGCTCTAGTGTCCATACGCATGGTTTATTTGTATCAAACGTTCTTGATTGCCGTGCACGAAGTCGATCTAAGATTTCCTATCTGCAACGTTTCCACAAGTCTTCCCAAAACTAAGTTTGAATTATGATGCCTCCGGTAAAAGGCTATTTATATCTTAGTCGGATATTACATGCACTAGCTGCTACGTAGTAACTATAGCACCGCGAACAGAGTCATCCTTTCATACGCCAGCTCAAAGGCTGGTCCTACCCATAAACACAAACCGGGCTCCAGGAGCGAGATACATCGACGTCCCTATTCTGTAGCGCGAGATAACAGCATGAACTCCATATTATGCTCGGAATTGTCTAGGTATAACATATTTACATATCATGACTGTACAACCTTCAGTCTAAACAATAATATCTAGCTTCAGGCCTCGGAGACGAAAATACCAGCCATGCCCATACCCTAGAAGGTGATTAGTATAAGGCTAACTTCGAATGTTCGAACCAAGGAGAGGAATTACTCACAGTTCCAACACACATGGAGGTGACTGCCACTTTCTTGCCCTGTCGCCGTAATTCGGAGAGTGCAGTAACAACCTGTCGTGCTCCTGTGCATCCCAATGGGTGGCCGAAAGCACTATATCGGTTAGCGATAACATTCAAAGAGTTTACACTAATAGTTTAGCTTACATTGCACCACCCCGAGGGTTCACCTTGGATTCGTCAAGACCGAGTTTTTGAACACAGTAAGTACCCTGGGTATACGTTAATGACTTGTCTTATCGGTCTAGGGGCAACGATGAGGACAGAGATATTGGCTCTACTCACCATGGATGCAAATGCCTCGTTGATCTCAAAGATATCAATGTCATCCTTGGTCAAGCCGAACTTGGAAAGGATCTTAGGAATGGCGATAGACGGACCAATTCCCATGATTCGGGGCTCTAAGCCAGCAACAGTGGCCCCGCCAAACTTGGCCAGGATTGGCTGGCCCAGTTCTTGTGCGCGGGATCGTTTCATGAGGACGAGTGCTGCGGCACCGTCGGTAATTTGACTAGCATTGCCACCCGTTGTAGCACTGGGCTTCCACTGGGGGAAAGCTGAACGGATCTTGCCGAGTGATTCGGCAGTCGTGCCATAACGAATACCATCGTCACGATCGACCACAATGTTCTTCACTTCTCCAGTCTTAGGATCCTTAACTTTGGTGTGAACGGGAACAATCTCGTCATTGAACCAGCCAGCCTTCTGGGCATGCTCTGCTTTCTGGTAGCTCTTGGCAGCGAACTGGTCGTGCATTTCGCGAGTGATTCCAAATTGAGATGCAACATTTTCGGAGGTCTGACCCATGGGCTGCTTGTTCTGGGAGGCGATTGGGTGGGATGTGATTTTGTCGGATAGCTCTGGGGCACCGTTGTCGGGGTTGGTGCTCATGCTCTCTGCTCCAACTGCGATACCAACATCGATTGAACCGGCAATGATTTGGTTGGCAATGTTCTGGATCGCCAGCAATCCAGAAGAACAGAATCGGTTGGCAACCGATGCTGCGGCGGTGACGGGGAAACCAGCTGCCAGCACAGCGGAACGGGCGATGTAAGCTTGGCCAGGAGCAAGGACATTCCCGACACAGACATCTTCAACAAGGTTAGGATCGAGCTTCGACCGCTCGCGCACATCCTATCTCTTATGTTAGACATGGAAAAGCTCGACAGGAACAGACAGGCACTCTACCGTCAGCAGTGAGATGAGAAGATCATCTATCGTGGTATCCTTCAAGCCACCCTTCCTAGCTTTTGTGAGAGGAGTCCGCAGGGCGAGAGTAATCACCTATTCCACACCTAGTCAGTCTTTGATCCTACCCCAAGCAAGGTGTATTATGTCGAAACATAAGAGACATACCACATCGTCAGGGTTCTTCGCTAAGAGCTTTGACTTTGCGGACGTAGCACCAGGGCTCGTAAGCTGGTTTGCGATAGAAGATAGTCGTTGTTGAGGCGAAGACATGTTGGAAGCTTATTGATCACGGTAGTACTTCTACGAATGTCTTTTTCCAAGGTTACTTCTTTTTGGAGAAGACAGAAGTTATTAGCTCCCCCGCAATGATGCACACGTCGCAATAATATAATAACCTGGGGCAAAAATCAGAAGCATAATCAGCCGCGGTTCCTAAGTCTGGGGGAACAAAAACACTGTCGGCGAATGGATCAAAATACCGAGCCGAAAGTTGGGACACAGCCAATGGATCAGGTTGGTTCAAAGATTAGTCTCATAGAAGCCGTTGCTCGGTGCTGGAAATTGTCCAGACCTTGCCGAGTGGACTTGCCGTCAAGCTGTAACACAGGCGTATGATACGGTACGGTTGGGTGGCCTCGGCTGTCGGTCGGATCCATCAGTGCAAGGCCATGATTGGGCTTCGACCACCGTTGTGGGGAAGCTAATAAGCAAGTCTAGTACGGAGAAGTGGAGCAGCCATACTTACACAGTACGGAATATGGGGAAATTAATTGGAGTAGTAACTACATCGATATTGTATTCTGTACCTTAGTCGTTCAAACTCTTGCTAGATCGGGGAGTACGGTGTACTCATGATGCTAATACAATGTATTCCATACTACTAATAATGTATGCACAGTGTCATGATATTGAGCTCTGAGGCATGTTTGGTTTTCGCTCCTGCTTTCGTCTTGTCCCGCCCTATTCCAAGGTTGACATCGACAGTATGGCTGTCACTTTCGGGTCTCCACAGGCTGAATGTCAAAGAGGATAGTACTTGAAGGTAAGCAACTGTGAATACTATCTGTGGAGGCCGTGGGACAGAACCGCGCTACTCCCCAGTGGCGGTACCAACGTTTTCAAGCCCCTTAGCTTGAACAATCGATCTATCGGATGGCAGCATTTCCCTGATTGCCGTTTGGAGGCCCCCAGACCCCAGACATTCGATCTACACCATGGCCGGCAATTTTCAGGTCCCGTCTCTAAGTTCCGATCGGTCCAAGCTACACAACTATTGTTCGCTATATTCGTGCTCTCCAGCCCCAGTCGCCATAACTGACTTGACACTTTCCATGGAGCGGTGATCAATGCGAAGTCCATTTTCTTTGTTTAGTACTCCTGTGGCTGCTTTGAATTAGCCAACCCAATCAGTACAATTTCCACAGAAGATCTCAAACATACACCTACAGTTCTACATTTATCAGGTTCCCGCCGCGTAATGGATCTCTTCTCAGAGATTAGTGCGCCAACAATGGCAATGGCTTCAGCCCTCTCAGTGGGTGCGGCGGCCTATCTCAATGCCAAACTTTCCATTTCTACCGACATATCGACGATATACAATGATCGGGCTTTTACGAAGCGTCTCGGCCAGCGAATTGCGGAGCTGGGTGACACAACCACGATCTACAAGATGCTTGAAAGAGTCATCGAAGTCGAAGGTCATGGCTCAAGAGAAGCGCTCTGGTTTGAGAACAAGACATGGACATATAGCCAATTGAAGGACCGTACGTACACCCCTTGTCTTATTAGCGATCCTTGGACATAGCTCTTACAGCAAAACTTACACTCGCATAGTTGTGGATCGATTTGCTACGGTTCTCCATGGACGAAACATTATATCAGGAGACTTCGTTGGTGTTTTCACCACTAATTCTATAGAAATGGTCGTGACGATTTATGCACTTTCGAAGCTGGGCTGTGTCGCTGCACTTATAAATACGAACCTGAGAGGTATTGTCCAGAACTAGAACCTATGCATGTCAAACGGAATCTAATCCAGGCGAGCATAGATGACACATTCATTCACTGCCTCAATGTCTCTGGCTCCAAGTTTATCATCTCGACACCTGATTTATCACAGTTTGTCTGCTCTGATTTGCCTCATATTGCGCTGAATATATCGTCCTTCGACGGCGACTCTGCGGGAATGACAGAACTTATCACAGCCGCGCAATTGCAACAGCTCATCCCCCTTGGCTTGATTCCTGCTAAGAGGTCGCCCAGCGATTTGTGCGCCTTGATCTACACTTCTGGAACTACCGGGAAACCCAAAGCATGTGCAATTCGAAACATGATGACGCTCGTGACATCTAATCCGCTCACGGCGGACGCGAACAATCCATCGAAGTATTTCCCACTGCGCACATATTCTCCCCTTCCTCTTTTCCACGGCACCGCTTTCTTCACGGGTTTGTGTTACTCGGTTGGGAACGCGAGCACCTTGTGTTTGCGCCGCAAGTTCTCGGCTTCGCAGTTCTGGAAAGATGTCCATGATTCAAGAGCCACGCGTATCTTGTACATTGGCGAGTTGTGCAGGTACCTTCTGTCAACACCGCCTTCGCCCTATGACCAAGATCATTCTTGCATTGTGGCTAGTGGGAACGGACTCCGTGGGGAAATCTGGGAGCGCTTCCGTCAAAGGTTTGCGGTCCCTGAGATCCGTGAGTTCTACCGATCAACCGAGGGCGTGGCCAAATTCGATAACCATGGTGTCGGAGCATGGGGTGCAGGGAAAATTGGATTTTCTGGCCCGATCAGACGGCTTTTTGAAGACGATGTGTTCATTGTGAAATATGATACTGAGACAGAAATGCCCTACCGGGACCCAAGGACAGGCTTCTGCATCAGGGCGAAGCTTGGCGAGGAAGGCGAGGCAATTGGGCGGGTCAGAAATCGCGGGCTACTCACTGAGTATCTCCACAACGAAGATGCCACCGAAAAGAAGCTTATTCGGGACGTGTTCGAGAAAGGCGACATCTTCCAACGTACAGGTGACCTTGTGGTTCAGGACGGAGACGGTTGGGTCAAGTTCCAGGACCGGGTAGGAGACACCTTCCGCTGGAAAGGCGAGAACGTCAGTGCAGGAGAAGTCCGAGACCACATTTGCCGAATCCCTTCCGTTCATGATGCCGTCGTCTACGGTGTGAAGCTCCAGGGGTATGTCCGATATGTGTTGCTGGCCATTTCAAGCCATATACTAACATCCTGATCGTAGGTATGATGGACAAGCTGGCGCTGCGGGAGTCACTCTTGAGGATTCTTCCGCAGCCGTGGAGTCTGAATTTATGTCGAACTTGTACCGTGAGCTGAAGAAGAAGGGTGTGCCATCGTACGCTCTGCCACGGCTTGTCCGACTCACTGAGAAGTAAGACTCGGACAACCAATGGTTCATAATAGTTTATGCGCTAACGTACTTTTTATCTCCTCATAGGGTTGCTACTGGCGTCACTTTCAAGCAAGCTAAGGGTGATTTGGCCAAGAAGGGATGGGATCCACGAGGGGACTGGAAAGGCGATAAGTTGTATTGGCTGAACGGGAAGACATACGAGAAGCTTGACGACCGAAGCTGGTCTTCGATCGAAAGTGGACAGGCGAAGCTGTGAGGGGGAGGGGGGCATGTACGTATTAATATTTGTTCCCAAGAGCGAACGGGTTCTGAGATAGACCCTCTTGATGGTGTACATATAATGCCAAGACGCTAAGAGCATAAGGTCAAGATTCTTTCAAGTTGTTCGGCAGTTGTCTCAAGACAAGAGAACATCTACATAACTTCGACTCCGTACGGTTACCCAGATTACCCAGTTGTATACTTTAGGCCCCTTGGCACATATACGAACATTTTTGTTCGCTTTCGATTTATTCCTGCTTATGATTTATTTTACTTTTATCGTTTTGAATAAATGCTTCTTTTCTTCTTGACACAAGAACGGCATGCCAGCCGCAATCGACTCCAATCTAATCTCCCGAATGAAGCTAGGGCCAAAAGATCGGCATGAAACTAAGCCACTGGTGAACCAATGCATGAACACGGCTTCCCCTGCCCTTGCTTCTATTCGTTCGATACCTCTTAGTCGTATATGCTCGGATATCTTGTATCATAGTCGGTCGAATCGTAAGGCGCGGGGCTAAAATCTCTTGCATTTAGTATATAAAGGCTGCCCTAGTCTGTTTTAAGAAAAAAAAAAAGATGCTCAGCACTGCAAAATTTCAACATTAACCGCAGCTGCACCATGACAGACTCCAGTGCACCTTCACAGGTATCTCATACCCACCAGTCTCGCGTAGACGATGGGAAACTCTCGGAGCAGGTTTTTCAGGAATCGACTCCAGATAAGGATCTGGAACAGCCAATCGCACCTGATCAGTTTGATGTGAGATACTGTACCACAAAATGGGAAATATGGGCATACTATGCGTGCGTTGATAATATGTCGTGGAAACGAAAATATTGCTAAATGAGAAACATCAAATCAGTTATTATATTGGAAACAATGGATTATCTCTATTCAGTAGGGTCCCCCTCTCCCATCCGCTCGGGTCGAATAGAAAACCCACTCGATTTAACCATTAACTATTTGCAGACTTCGGCCCAACTGCATTCCAAAACCTACTCAGCCAAGCCGCAGGCGATAGCGGAACCCTCTACTTTGCAGGACGACAGCGTTCCATCAATAGTATCGTACTTCTCAGCAATGGAATCTCGTTCGCCATCCAAGTGGTCATCTTTCTAGTCATCGGTAGTTTCGCCGATTTCGGTACATGGCGACCCAATATCCTGATCACCCTTTCAATAATCGCATATGCTATCGGCTTCGGCTGGCTCGGCGTCCACACGGCAGACAAATGGCACGTCGGCGTGGGACTGTACATCGTTGGCTTAATCGCCTATCAAACGACGCTGACCTTCTGGACGGCAGCATTCCCGGGTTTGGCACGCAATACACCTGAGATGAAAGCAAAAGCCGATGCCTACACCGCGGGAACTATATCGCGTGATGAATACGACCAGGCCGATACGATAGAGCGGAGTAGGTTGGCGAACATGGCTTTCTATGTCCAGTCCTGTGCCGAGGTGGTCATCCTTGCGATTATTGTGGGTATCATGTTTGGAGTGCGTGTCAATGCAAGTGAGGAAAATAATAATTGGGGCTTGAGTGTTTTGATTGCCTTTGCGAGTGGTGTGTGGCTGCTCGTTTCGTTACCTTGGTTCTTCCTTGAGAAGCGTCGGCCAGGACAAGATCCGCAGGGGAGAAATATCTTCGTCGCGGGTCTGTGGCAGCTTTATTATGCTGCGAAGCAGGTGTGGAGGTTGAAACAGAGCTTGCTTTATCTTGTTGGTAGGGTTCCATCTTGGCCTTTTCCCAATGCATCGGGTTGTTCTATGGAGTTACTAATCGGAACCATAGGATATTTCCTCTTGGGAGACTCATTGAACACAACTGTGACTGTGATATCGACCTTGCAGAACAGTGTGGTCTCTTATAACACTCTGGAATTGACTTACCTTCTGATCGCTGGAATCGCAGCTCAGGTTCGTGCACCAACCTATCTAGTATTCTCTCGTACGTGGTTAACCAATCAAAACAGGCAGTGGGGATCTACGGCTTCTGGTTCATCCAGCAACGCTTCAAGCTCGGCACTAAAACCATGTTCAACACCATTGCCGTCGCAATTATATTACTCGATGGCTGGGGCATGATAGGCATCTGGACACAGAAATTTGGTTTCCACCATGGTTGGGAGTTCTGGGTACGTCAGACACTTCCTCTCCGCTCTGAGAGTATTGTCGGACACTAACTGCGCGAGAAATAGCTCTACCAAGTATATTACGGCCTGTTCGTCTGCCCGTGGTATAGTTACTCGCAAATCATGATCTCCGAAGTCGCACCCCGTGGCCACGACTTCCTCTTCTTTAGTTTATTCAGTATCGTTGGCAAGACCTCGTCGTTCATTGGGCCTCTGGTCTCGAGTGCTATTATCGATGCGACCCCGTCTGGAAACGCCTCGATGCCATTCTACTTTCTATTTGGGCTGAGCGTGGCCAGTTTTGCTGTTTTAGCGATCTGGCTGGATCTAAAGAAGAGTCGGCGAGAGCAGGAGCAGTTTCTTCAGGGTAAGGATGGGAATGGGTCGGGGGACATGTGAGTTATATAGTATTCGCTGTAGGGACCTGGAGGAGAAACCGGGAGGATTGGTGTACTGTGTACACAACTTATAGCCATATGAATTATATCTGATATCTTCCAAATCAATGTATGTTATCATGGTGTTATGCACTAGTTTGAGGTTGTGTACCTTGTGTACGGAGGAGGGCCTGCGGTTCAGCGTTTACTCATTCGATTAGCATAGAGCTCTGTGCAATTATCTCTACAGTACATTATAGTATACCTTTAATAGATAAAGGGCTAATTTGACCCCTGTGTCTCCATGCAGACCTTGGGTAAGCACCGGATTAATCAGAATGACTCATTATGACTTTCCCCGATGAATGCCCGCATGTATATCAAAAGAGTAAGTGGGGATATATAGTCGAAGTGCATTGGGTAAGGCTTTCGGACGAAGCCCTCGGACGAAGCTTGGAAGGAATTTAGATCATTTAATTTTCTTGTTTAGTTTCATTCTGACTGCTTTACTAATGTTTAATCTATGGTTCAACTCCATGCACCCGGCTGAGAGTTGCTAGAGTGGTCAGTCCGGGATTGACTATCACTTTGTTGCACAGCAACTCCTTATAGTATGGAATTTCTGTGATTTAATTCTTAAAGTAAGCTCATACATAGTAACTAGCTATGGGTCAACAATAAAGAATAATTGAGCTGTAATTTCCTACTAGACAGTGACTGACACCCTCCAATAGCGGCAAAAGCGGCCCACCTCAGAGTACGAGGGTCTACCAGTGGGTATCCACAAGTACTATATAAAGCAAAGTGCATATTTGCTCCAACTTGCTAGGTTTCTTCCTTACACCAACAATCTCAACAAGTGAGCTGCTAAACCCAGCCACTTTACACGCAGTGTGTCAAAATCGAGCCCCAAGCATCAGCCTCTCCCCTGTAGAGGAGAGGGAGGCCCTAAACCTTGAGCTCGTGGCCGCACAACAACCACCCAAGTCCATCATGGCCATTTCGCACACCATGGTTTTCGCCCGACCACAGCAGCAGAAGGAACCAGTCCCTCCCTGGTGAACCCCCTTGGGAGTCGGTACCCGACTTCACGGCACCAGGACTTAACTGGAACGATGATATGCTAGAGACCCAGTCTGAGCAGCGCCCTGTTGCCGCTCAAGGCCGACCAGATCCCCTACTTCCTTCGGATATGTTGTCGCCATCGTCGAACACGCTGGTTTCTGTTTCTCTTACGGCGCCGTTCGGTCGAATCGAAGAGACCGCTCTGGCGAGGCTGTCCAGTCCATTAAATGCGTCGTATACGGGGACCGGGTTCAATGGTATTATGTCTTTTATTGTTTGGTTGTTCTTTGACCAATGTGATCGAAACCATGACTTACCGGTACCAGGTTATCCTATTACTAGTACCCATGGTGATAACCACCTCTCCCTAGACTCTCACCAGCATAGTGTATCTCAGCAACAGAACCCCGGATTCATCAATAACGAAACTCTACCTTCGAACACTGGCGTCGCAGACTCATTACCCGCCCAAGAATACCCAGCTGAGACATTATCCCCCGAAGAGTCGAGCAACCGTCGTTCTAAGCGAAAAGCTGGCACCCTCGAACAGGACCCTAGCGATGATAAGGCCACAACAGCCATCAAACGACAGCGCAACACCATGGCTGCCCGGAGGTACCGTCAGAAGGGACGTGATCGCATTGCTGAACTGGAGTATGCTTTGAGGGACATGGAGCACGAGCGAAACGAGCTTAGGCTCCAACTGGCCAGGAGAGAGGCGGAGGTAGCTGCTTTGAAGGAGATGTTGAGGGGGTAGATGTTGAGTGTCTTTGTGGGGTGTCCTTGGGGATTGTGTATAGTGTAAGGGTCGATCTATGAGGTTGTGGGTTCGTTGTTTGTTTAGATTTCTTATGGAATATTGTTTGTTCTGTTGAGATATAATTGTCTGTCTCTTCCTGTTGAAGTCATTGTCGATGTATGAGTTGTTACCGGATGGGTTTGTGTTTGTTTTTACTCTGAATGTGGTGATTTATGTATTTGGGTTGATATAGTTAATTTATATGCTAGGTAGTCGGGAGAGTCCATTACATGCTGCCAGTAAAAGGGAGTACATGGAGTAGGCTATGACGATGGCGAAGTTTAGTCAAGCCACTGCTAGTTGCATTGTAGGACATGCTAGTAAATGAGATTATACTAGGTAAATCTCTCTTTGTGTTCGGAGCTACTGTCACACTACAAACAAACAAGTTATACATGTTGGAAGCAAATTCACTAGAAAGAAGCAAAAGGATATATAATTTTTTGGGTCCGAACTTTTGGAAGAGTGAAAAAAACTCCAGCCCATGCTATGCCTAAGCGCCGTATCTCGGGAAAGTGAACGTGAAGGATCAATATCTGACGGAGAACATGAAGGAAAAAAGAGTAGCATAAGGGGAACATATATATCAGCAACAAATTTAAGATTCCCCATCCGATGAGGCGCTCTCCTTCGACTTGCTCTTCTTCTTCTTCTTCTCCTTCTTTTCGGAACCATCGACGTCTGCCTCTGCTTCCGAGTCGCGCTTCCGCTTCTTCTTCTCTTTCTTCTCTTTCTTTTCCTTTTTGGCACTCTCCAGTTCCTCGGGCGGCACGAATGCCTTGGCCCGCTCCTTCATCTTTTCCTCGCGCTTCACGCGCTGCTTCTCCATAAGTTCTTCCTTCTGTGCACGGTCCTTGGCTTCCTTGGACAAGAAGTACTCGCCCGACTCGATCTGCAAGTCCACCTTGCTCTTCTCCGGGGCCGGTGGGAAAGGAGTATACACCTTCTTGGACTTGTCGGTGACCTTGAATGGCATGCGACGCTTTGAGAGGGTGCGCTTCTTGAAGTTTGGCAGGAATCGGTCCCAGGACTCGTGGGCCAAAGTGGGGTCCTTGGCCAATTCACGCTTGATCATGAGCTCCTTGATATGGTAGATGGGATGGATGTTGGCCATGCAGTCGTTCACCACCTTGCGCACCTCTTTCAGTCCCTTAAAAGGACCCATTGCGGAGACGGTGTTTCCTTGCACCAGGATATATGTCTCGGTTAAGAGCTCGAGAGCTTTGAGAGTCGAACCGTTGGGTCCTAGGATACGTTGGCGACGCTTTACGAAACGCTCTTTATTGCGGACTTGGCTTCGGATTTTGATGATATCACATGCGACGCCATCCTCGAGGATTTTCAAAGCCTATCGTTGGTCGGGACGGTCAGCGGATGGGTCCCGATAATATTGTGAAACAGTAGATGATCAACCTACCTGTTGCACAGGCACACTTCTGGCAAGAAGCTTGATAAGATCACGGGCCTTAAGGATTGCAGCTGGGTCAAAAGTCTTCCGGGTGGTCTTCACAGTCATGCTACCCTCCACCAAATCTAGAGTACAGGCGATTCCCTGCTTTTCCAGAGCCCTTGTTACAACCGGCCATGCTTCCTTCAGATATACTTCACGATATTTGGGAAAGAGCGTAGCGAAAGAGGATTCCTCGGCGAAACTACCGGCGGCATTATCATCGGCTTTGAATGGCTCGATCTAGTCGCAGATGGTAGGTTAGGAAACGAGCGTATATCACCTGGGGAAATCACAAAAAGAGAACAAACCTTCCATTTATCGATATCGTCCGTATCCCACGGCTTATCCCTCTTGTATGTGGACGGCATTTTGGGAGATTGGGTTGCGCAGTCTTTTTGGCAGGTGGTACAGGATTATTCTTCGACGGATCTGAATTGGCGGCCAACTTTTTTCTGATCCGCGCGGAGACTTACCATATTTGGCATTTAGCGCGCCGAGCGACTAAGGCGGAACGTACGTAGGTAAATATGCGCCGTAGGCGCACAAGCGCCCGATTGAATGGTTCGGGCGCCTATGCGGATGAGCCTCAAAGGTGCTCCTCCTGCAATTGGGTTGTCTGGTTGGTCGACCCTTGGTTTATCGGCGGGTCCCATTCCACAATTTGTGATAAGTTAAATCAGGCGGAAGAAATGAAGCCACGGATTGCCACATGGTAGTTGCTTCAGTGGTTTCCCGAGTCTAGTCGCGGGTTGACTTAGCTACTGTACGAGTCATAGATTTGATAGATCAGATGCAGCTGTGAGAATGGTAGGTTCAACTAAGCCCCTTTTTAGCATTCCATGTCCGTGGTGTTGGGTCTCCTTGGTGCAATTCTGGGACACGGAACCAGAGACACCTACCAGCCCACGTTGGTTTGGTTTTTGGAAGAGCGAGATAATCCAATGTTTTTCTTGACACAAATTGTACCCACTGTTGGCTCCTGGTGCTTGATTACTCAACAGCAATGATCCTTTGCCATTTAATCACGGAGAGAAAGAAAGGCAAGGTTTAACTGGGAAATTACAGAGGCCCGCAGCTCCCTTTGCCCCACACAGTCTATCGTGGGAAACTTTCCCATCAGGACGATAGCACCAACCAGAGTCCACAAAGGACCGTTTGGAATATGAAAGTTTGCCTGTAGCATCATCTTAACTCTCTCTCTTACCCATTGGTTTAATAATTTGCTCTTCATGGTGTAACTAGAGTTTCAAGTGGTGGCCACTATTACTAGTCGTAACGTCCAACTCTGGAAGGCAGAGATTGGCAACGCCAATCCTACTGAGCGATCCGCTAGAGGGCTCTGGATGGATCCATGCCAATTCTCGCTAGAGTATTTCACTAGTAATCAAGGCAGTAGTAATTGGACATTGTAAAGACATGGTTATGGTGGAGGAGAGGGGGGGGGGGAGGAAGCTTCCATGAGGGACGATTTTAGCAGGTAATTTTTTTGTTCCAGCTTAAAGTTCAGCGACGACCCGTCAGTTTGGTAACCTACCCGAGACGGGGCCCGTTTCCCAGTCCTTCTTGTCCCCTACACCGTCTTCCCTTTCCCTTTCCCTTCCCTTCTCTCTCTCCCCCTTCTTAGGTGACAATAACTTCAGGTTCGACGTGGTGGATTACTCCGTTGGAGTTTCCACTGAACCTTGCTCAGATCGAACAACGAGATCTCTCCCCACAAGACATCATACTCGTGATATGCTCGCTAGTTCTTGAGATGACGATTCTAGGTGCACGGGCTTTCTTTGAGTCCTTCTTCCCATTCGTTTGAGTGGTCTTCCTGGCTTTTGGACCAACGGTCTCCATCTAGCACTCACTTTATATTCCAGACAGTTGCAGATCCACGGTGGCACCTCCCGGACCGATATATGATCAAGACAACGACGTCAGTGTCATTGCTTCCTAGAAACGAAGACGACCGCTCACTCAGAGCCAGCTGGCTGAAGAAAGAAGGATTCATTCCATCAACACAACCTTTTTGCCTGGGCCAAAACGAAGCGGCATATCCGGCATACGCCCAGGGCCCTGCCCGGTCTTTTAATACAGGTCTCTTGAGGGTTCAATCCTCGTATTGCATGCCCGCGAGGTACCGGTTTCATTTTTATCCAAGTGACCCATCTCCGAACTCGAGCCCACTGCTATCTTTATTCCCTGTAGAGTACCGTTATGCGCGAGAGACAGCCTCCCGTCGGACGTTTGGCGTATGGTGTTACCTGCTAGTTTTGATAACTACACTGTTGCTTGTGGACGGTTTAGTCAGGCGGGTGGTGGTTGTACTTAGGTCCGCCAGGGACACAACTCCTAGAGGGGAGGAGAGATACTGAGACACATGTTCCGGTGGAAACTGACCAATATTTAGCTGCTTTCAAGCTCTACCTGTCCAATGTCAAAATATCTAATCTGATGATGGAACTTTTATGGTTCCCTTGGGCAGTTAAGCCAGAAACGTCTTCGATAGAGATACAACAGCTCTCTACTAATCGTGGGAAGAGGATCGCGGGTTGAATATCACACCCATCCCTCCGGCAATATTTACTAGGGTTTTCGTCCGATGCAAACATACCTCGTGTTGTTAGAACACCGTCACGGATTGCTTGAAGAGCGGACTCACAAGGGAAAGTAGGCCTTCAAATTGTGGGTATCGGCTTCCTGCTGTGCTCGCGCTATCAGCTCTGCAAACTGCTGTGGGGGCATCCGCAGTCGTTGGGTAAATGGATAAAGCCCCAACGCGGGAAGCAGTTTTTTAACATTATCACGGTTTGCGGCGCCTATGTCTCGCATCCTTGGGTCTGTCCAGTGTTAAAGAAACCTTTCACTCATATGGCATATATGCACCTTACCATTTGGCCACGCGGATAGAGGAAGAGGGATCATCCGAGCATCGACCTCGGTCAGGCCTGCTGCTGTCAGAAGATTCCTCAGCCTTGTCCCAACGCGAAGGTCCTTCACTTCCTCCAAAGAGCCCATTAATTGTGTGCTCCATTGTCTCAATGCATGCTGCTCGGTGATTGAGCCGTTATCTGACTGGACATTGAAGTATATCTCGACTAGTTGCACCCAGCCCCCTGACTTTAAAACTCTGTGGCAACCAAAAGTTAGTCTAAGGCGTCGGTGGTATCCCGTGTTGGATCAGAGAGCCGGTCGTCAGGAATCAGACCTTTTAATGTCTCGGATATAGGAGGGCCACCGGTCTCGGTTGATGCCAGTTGCAAGCAGCCTTGAATGGACAAGGTCGAAGTTATTGGGGGGGAATGTGAATGGACGGTTCAGATCATCGACCTATATGGGGACATAGATATGTTAGTGACACATTTCTCAGAATTGACAGGCTGCCGTTCGGGAATTATCTTCGCTAGATTCGGCAAAATGGGGCCGCAGGGGAGGTTTCGTCGAACAGTGAGAATGTGGAAAGGGGCATGGTTATAGCGACTCGTGCATAGCGAGGCTGCCGCAGTTGAGAGATGCTGGACTCACTTGTAGGCATAAATTCTCCGGTATATCGTCTGGGCTCATATAGGGGTATATATCGAGGCCGATGACCTTCAGTTGAAGCAATTAACTGGTTGGTACCTGGGAGACCGAACCCACCTGGACGACGTACCTTGCATTTGGGGTGCTGTTCCGCAGCCCCGATGGCCCACGAGCCAGTGCCATAGCCACAGTCGAGGATCTTTTGAGGCCGCGGGATCGGCGGAAAAATTAGCCTGTTGTCGAAAACCTTGTCGAAAACCTGGTGCTGGAGCTCGAGTCGTTCTGCCTCTTCCTGGCGGTGGATCAGCGGTCAGGTTTGTCCCGAGTCCCAGACTTTTTCCTGATCTTACTCCGTCCACCGGCTCAAAAAATATCTGGTGGTCGATTGAGAACTTTTGAAATACGCGACTTTGGATGGTTACGGTCTCAAGGTACACGTCGTCCAACGCTTCCGTTTCCGAGTCAGGGCTCCTTAACGACCCAGAAAGTCAGTGCTCATGGTCTGTCCACGGTCTAGGGACGGGGTTTAGGTACGTCATTGTAGGCCCGTTCCTGGAATGCTCACGGGGAAGTGGGTTGAATGAAGCTTAACAGATTGAATCAAGGACAGCAATGAAATCCCATCTCTCGGGGCGTCTCTATCGTGGGGGAATGGATGGCAGATTATGTTGTGGTTAAGGGATCTCTTTGTTGAAGCGATCGACGGGGCACGAAGAATATTCGACGAGAAAAGTACCGCTGGACACGAACCAAAAATGACTATATTGCACTCCATGGGCTATTGGTGAAGCAGTCCGTCCTATGCGGGACTGAGTCTTCGTACTAAAATGTACGGCCGGTAAAGGAAAATCCGTTCATCTGTCTTGCCATTTGGAAGAACACAGCAAATCATGGTCCTTAAACCCCCCTTCAAAGAGGCAAAATTCAGTCAATGGCAGGCCACCATTCCGAACTACTACATTTCCCTCCATGACAACAGGTTAAACACCGTCTGTCCTTGTCTTAAAAAGAAATACGACTACCTCGGAGGTATTTTTCCCCTGGATTACATCCCACCAATTTGCAGCGAAGGGAGGGGGTCGGCTGTGCTTCCGGAGGGGCCACCGATGCCGCCGGGTTTCAACGCCTAGGAGGGCTAATACACAAACCCTTGGGCTTCACCCATCACCCAACCAGCCAGTATATTTGAGAGCAGTTTTAGACATCGTCACACAGAGTTTCGGTTTCTCTCCAGCTCCCTTATTTGATAGGAACTCTTGGGGATCGTCTTCAGATCCTTGTTCCTAGTGGCACGGAGACTTTTGGCATTTTCGCTGTTAGTACAGGGCTCACGTGTTGTCTCCTATACGATTTTTACGTGCCTCTGCAGCCCTGGCCAGGCAGCATCAGTAACTCGAAATCATCACAGCCCTAGTCTTTGCATGGCCACACAACGCTAGATCTGCACAAAAAAAGAAAAAAAAAATAAAAATAAAAATGAAAATATGGATTGAAGGACAGGCCTGCATGGTGGGGGTGGCACGTCATGATGTAATATCGCTAGGATGCCTATGCCAGCAGAATTAATCGCCGGAGAGGGGGGGTCTATGACAGTGAATCATTAACAACGAAAGAAATATCCGACGACCACCCTGCAGATGCAAGCAGCTATTGCGGATACACTAAGGATTTAGCTGAAGGTAAAGCACGCTGGTTTGCGCCGTCGGACCGCGTTCATACTGGCCGTAGGGATGGCCAATGGTCTAGCCGTTGACCTCAGCTTGGTGCTGGCTGTGCGCGAACAGCCACCTATTCTAAGTCTGACTATCCCGATACCAGAGCCATTCAAAGGTAAGTAATTTAAGAAAAATGACGGCATCGATTTGAATTAAGTGGGGGAATCTTGAGGAGTGGCTTGTGAGCGCAGCGATCAGCAGGGCACTGGGCAATATATCGGTTTTGGCTGCCAATCTAGTCCAATTCTTTGAACTATATTCTCTCTGGGATTTTTTTTTTTAATCTTCACTCTTTTTTTCCCCTCAATGACAGCCCGCGCCTCGTTCTCACCGCTCCTTTTGTGCGTCACCCGTCGTGCTAGAGCTTGAAACAAATGACACTAAGACGCCCACACGATGGGTCACTGCCCCGATTGAGAATAGCAGAGTATATCTGACAAGCGACGGCGCTTGGCGGGTGGGCCAACGATCTTTAGGTCGCACGGAGGGCTCTCTTAAGAGTCAAGATATGCAAGCGATGGGTCGGGGCGTCAGAGGCCTGAACAATTGTGGAGTATGGGAACAGGTTGTCTTTGATTGACCTGACAGAGAATACGAGGGCTATAGACTACTTTGCGGCATCCTCAAAGCTCTACGATGCCGATTTCCGCTCTTGGGATTGAGTTCAATGGTTACTTTCAGGGAAATTCCACTAACGGAGAGGAAGGTGAGATGGGAACCCAACGAGCAAATCAGCATTGCCTCGGTCGAGCATTGCTCTTCCTTCGACCGTTTTAGCGGATTTTCACGAGGATATTGTGTTGGTCATGACCACCGTCTGATTTGCGGCCGTACATCCATGACCATCGCTAAGCATGCAGACCAGGAATCCATGCAGGGCCAACGCCAGGTGAGCACCCAAGCTGTCGGGTCTCTCGACAACAGGACTTAAGCCCAGGGTTGACAAGGCATATTTGGTAGCGATCCCAGAACCACGGTTCAGCTTCGGGAAAGCAGTGCGCAGCGCCGGAGACTACAGCGGTTAGGCCCGCTAGTGTGGGCGTACTAAAACCCTACCCACATCGTACTGCAGCAAGTAGCACGCTCGATGGAGTTGCAATCCCTTTATCATTACGTTGCACGTCTCTCGTCATTTTAATTAATTATCCTTTTTCCACTTTATTTTTCTCGGTCTCTCTTTTTTTTTTGTTCTTTTCGACTGCTTTGACCATCTGTCACAGTCCCTCCACACTGTCTCTAGATCTGTCTGTGCGTACAGATCTATGTTGGAATGGCAAAGATAATACTCAGAGTAGCTTTGTAGTATTTCAGCCAACAAACAGAGAGAGGGAAGATTTTTATTGCGTCTGTTCATATAACGTCATACAGTACACGTCTATACCTTCGTACCCTATATCATCGCTACCTGACCTCCAAAGATCCAGTCATATACTTCACACTAGCAACAACGATCTCCACCACAAACGCAGTCTCTTCTTCAGTGCGCGGGGCATAAATCAAAACATACTCCGACGGAAGCGAGATCACCTTTCCTCCAAAAAGCGCCTTTGGAGCTTGAACCCCAGATAATCTATGCCGTTGGCCCCAACCAGCTTCAATCACTTTCTTGCCTGTTCATTAATCTCCGAGTCAGTTTTAATTTCATCTCTAGACAAAACATGTATAGTCTTCCCTCGTCTCCGTGTGACAGGTACCAATGGGGACTAAATATGGTCCATGGATAGAGGGATCATACAGTCAGCAGGAGCCAAAGTCAAATGCAGCGAGAAATCCTTCAACCGGTGGATATGCGCAATCTCGCCCCTCAGCTGCTGCGCAGCGGGAGTCGGGATAAGGCCATCCGCGAGAAAGAGGGCATCGGCGTGAAGTTCGAGTTTCGACGGGGCAAGTCCGACGAGGTGTTGGTTGCGATTGGCGAAGGCGTAGAAATCCCGATTCAGTTTCTTTTTCAACCTCCAGTAAGTATTGGGACAACATACATTACACTTTTGTACGTCCGTGACAGACATACGCAAAAAAAAAAAAAAAAAAAAAAAAAAAAAAAA